TGCTTTGCATGTTATACCCATTTAAATTTTCTTGCTTGCTGTTCAATTCACACACATTGTTTGAATACACACTTAGTGTGTAACCTCTTTGCTATGATACACTTCTAAATTTAATCCTGATGTTTTGTCGTTTAAGTGTATGTCATAATGTTCCATAATTTTCTTCTAAAGATGTTCATTTGGAAGCAGTTTGCACTATCAACTGTGTTAAAATGCACGATTTTAATGCAGCAAGCAATGAAAAAAGTTGGAAAACTCTTATATAAGATGGTTGCTTTTGTTCTTGAAATTACTGAACCAGACTGCCATCTATTGGAAAATAAGTATTTTTTAAATTATACTTTAAAAAAAAAAAGCCTAAAACTGCTATAATTAACTGTCAGAAGCTGATTTTGCTAGCAATCATGCTTAATTCAGCCTGAAAAGGAAACACCTTAGTTACCTGAACCGTGATGAAAATCAAGGATTTTCTGCTATCTTTTTCCACCTCATGTTTTCTGGAATGTGTTTTGAAGCACAACCTCTTTTCTGACTCACTGAACAATCAAATTCTAGGTTTTTTGAAAGATCTTTATTTAGGGAACACAGAAAAACTGTAATATGTCAKCACCGAGCAAAACACAAGTATAAAGCTTTCCCAGCTTGCCTGTGCAGCACCAGTCAGGGCTTTCCATGCCTTTGCACACACAGGGAACTAAAGAGGGTATTCAAGTCACAATGACCAAAATGGGAAAAACAAAGACAGGGACYAGAGGCGAAAATCTATGAATTGACCGTGAACCCCACCCAGCATACAAGTCATTGAGATTTACTAGGAATTCCAACCAAAATGATGTGTAGCTSTATGAATGCCTTTTGGAGCTCTCTCTGAAGTAGAATTGCAGAACTATGTTCAATATGGCCTTTAATTTTGTGAAGAAATGAGCAGGGGTTGTTGCATGGTATGCTGTAATRTTCATGTTCTAATGACTGGTAAAGATAAACTAGAAAACATGGCATAAATATTTTGCATGACAGCACACCAAACACAGCCAGAGTTGCAAAAGAAAACATTGAAATTATGAAGTTTCCAGTGCAGCTTTGACTTCCTTCTGTTTATTCTTAATAATGTACTCTTCCAATAGAAAATCACTAATAACTAATTCTCATCTGGCTCTGTGCTATTCAGCATTCAGGGCTCTCCTCTTGATTAATCATTCCCCCATTCAGGAAGCTAACACAATCTGCTCTTCCAGAGCTCCGATACTGTTACAGTTCCCCTTTCAACTTTTGGACTGGAAGCATCTTGGGGGGAGATCTTTACTCATCTCCAGACCTGCTCCTATTCATGTCTACACTGTGGGCCAACTCTTACTGTCCTAATTTCTGCTTACTGCTCCATTGTACTGTCCCTCTACAAGATGTTCATGCCTTCCAGTCCACAAGATCCTGACCATCAATTTTCCTATTCAGCACCTCCATCGCCCAAGGAAATGTAAGAGTCAAATCTGACTAGTAATTTGGAACTCAGAAAAATTAAACCCAAAAGTTCATTTTTTCTCTTTTTTCTTTYCTTTATTCTTTTTGTTCTTTTTCACCTAACCTCAGAGCTGTGCAAACTCTGCTTCCTATTTGACTTGAAAATACTGTGAGCACGTAAGTCACTGAAGTTTTAATGCCTTATGTCATAAATCACATACCTAGCCAAGAGTAACATATAAAAGAAATAAAAACATGTTGTGTTTTCAATGCAAAATTTGATGCAAATAAGTAGTTCCTTACTACAAACATTCCAGAACCACTTGCTATGTCGTTGGATGACTAATCGTCTAATAACATGGCAAATGGAAGAAAGGATTCAATTCTGTCCTTGAYCTAAAAGACTTCCAAACCCACTTCTTTCAAGGAAAGTGTAGAATTCTACAAGTGCTATATCACTAAGCAACAAACAGTGCAAGACATCCAAGACCAGAAAAGGAAGAGAATGTGCCTGTGAAAAAGGCATCCAAAGCCCTGCTCTTCAGATTGCACTGGTATTTTTTCCACTGGCTGTACTCTACAGAAACAATATCAGAAAGGATAATGGCCTGATGATCAGTACTTTATCTGGGAGACTATAAAACCAATGTTGAAACTCATCACTACGTCATGGAAAGAACTGAACACCACTCTTCCAGATGAAGTCTTTGCTCTCAAGTTATTACATTAAAAAGCAGGCAACCCCACTACTCTTACACTAAACAAAAACTGTGAGCCCCACTCTGCCAAACAACAGAGGCTGGGATTTAAAATTCAGGACAGAATTCCAGGCTGTGGATTCTGAATAGACAGACCTTCCTTTCCACAGTCCCAAATCAGTCTTAACCTCATTTAGCCAGAGCAGTAACACAGTTGTTCTGGCCCTCTTGAAAAGAGCTAGTTATTTAAAAAATGCTTTGAAATACACTCTGCTTGCTGATGCCTTCTCTTTCCCAAGCACATGGYATCCTTGGGAGATATCTCCTGGTGCTCCTCACTCCAGCTTCCTAAGTTTATGATCCACAAGTTACTGTTCCAATCAGAAATTCCCCAGTCTCCCATTTCTTTGAACAACAGTGTGATGCAAAAAAAATGCACGTCTCCAAGTAGCCAGTTCCTTTGCAAAATCTCCCCAAGTGTCACAAAGTGACATGACTTGGATTTTGGAAATTTTTCAGATTGTCAAATTCCAAGTTGAAAAGCCTGGAATCGACATTTATTCAGGAAATGGCATCGTCTAATATATTATCAACAGGGTCCTGACTTCTACACCTCTTCAGCGCTGATGCTAGCACAGCCAGCAACGAAAGTTAGGAAAAAACTACTGATTTGAAGCTGAAGTCATGGCTCCTTCGTGGAAGCATAGCTGGAGGGGCTCCAGCCCTCTGCTGGAGCTGMTAATAGAGAAAGGTAACACTCAGTCCAGCAGGCAGAAAGAGTCTGTGCTCCAGTGTCACATATTCCTGTATTGCCTATACTTCCATAGGGCTTTGGTATGTGCAGTAGAAACAAATGCAAGCTGAACAAACGCAGACAACAGATAAGAACCCACTTAACCTATTGAGATTCTTACAGAAGCTTCCCATGAAGRAGAAAACTTAAGTCAGAGTTGCAGGAATCTCTCTTCTTTAATACATATCCAAGGAATCTATTTCTGACTCTCCACATCTACATACATCTTCACTTCTTTCTGTATCGTCATGTTCTTATGCATAAATATTCATTTAAGTTTCTCTAGTCATCACCATACTATCACACATCTTCCATGGCTGTGCTTGCTGGACCTGCCCCCAGAACAATTTGGCAGTATTCACCTTCAGAGTCATTTTCAGAGCTAAACGTATCTCTTAACTTAAGTGCTTCTTCCTGATTAYTCTTTCATGGCTCCTTACAGAGCATGTGGCTTTTTGTATCACCCATGCACTATACAGGGAGCCTAAACACAAATGGAAGGCAGCACCCRCTCAAAATTAAAAGACATTGGAAGTGAGTTCCATTTTTGTCACATTTTTTTGATGCATGGCAGCCAGGTAGCAACTGAACAGACTAATAACCCTAAAATGCATTAAAAAAAATTAAATGGCTGCATTAGAACAAATAGAAAAACCTCACATTCCACCAAAGAGTCCTCTCCACACAGATCTGTATAGCTGGGCTTACTGTAGGGGAAAACATGTTCTGCCTGCCATCCCAGCACCATGTTGGGAGTGCATACCCATCATCCTGATTACACTTCTCTTTTAAAGAAAAGCTGGATGCCCTAATAGGAGAACACCATAACATGCTTTAAACAGTCCCCAATTTTGAAGGTTCGTTTTCWCATCTAGTTCAATAAAAGATATATGAAATACCAAAAAGATATATTGCCTAATTTACCTTTATATTTMTCTGTCACAAGAATTACAGATTTAGTGTCTGAATACTTTCTATTCACACTGCATTTCATTTAGGTCTGAGCAGACAGATTTATAGGGAATACATTTTCTGCAAAACAGCAGCTGAGAAGATTTAAATAGCAGTTAGCACCTAAATGCAGAGAGACACTAGACAAGCGTCTAAAAATGCTTAAATAAGATCAGTACTCTGGTCAGATTGAGTTCATTATAACACTTCATACATTCAAACATCTAGAAGGGGTTTATGAAAGCATTTCAGGGCAGATATTCATCTTCGTAAACCTCCCTGTGTCTATATATATATATATATATATAAAATTAAAAATTGTCCAAAACATGAAAGTCCATAACTTGCCATGGTTTTCCTCACATAACTGGCCATAATTTTCCTTAACTTATGAAAAGCAATAATTGAAATTTCAAACTTAGTAGTTTTTCTCTGTTCTGCACTATCATGTTTACTTAATGTCATGCCTCAAAATTAAGCCTAAACCAGCTGAAACCAGGAAACCTGTTGAGGAAGAGAACTCAACTGGAGAAAAAGAAAACAAAACAACAACCTTGTAGCCTTGTAGTACTTTCTTCACAATAATAATAGCAATGAAGTCATCTTCAATTATAGTTGGAAATCATGGAAATATCAAAACCACAACAATTTTCAGTATTAGAGATYCAGTCTTCAATATCCTTAGGCTACTGAGAAAGGAATTTAATACTAAAATGTATAAGAATAATAACTGAGGATGCTTAGCTGATCCTTTTGGGGGCATATTTGATCAGATTCTGCCAACATTTAGTATTCAGTATAGTATTGCTCACACTGATTTCCACTGATTTCTCAAAAAACCCTTCCTTGCCCTCCCCATGTTCAAAACCAGTAACCTGAATGTATTAGTGGTGGTGCCATAAAAAGCCATTCTGAGGTGTGTGGTAAGTGATACCTTTGTAAAATGAAGTGAACATTACATTCTAAATCTGTAAGAAGCACATGCTATATTATTTTTTATTATAATGTACTATTCTCACTCTTACTATTTCTTTTTTACGTGTGCCATAAATAAACCAGATGTAACTGAATATATTGCCCTTGTATCCCATCTTACTTACTACATTAAGCTTGGTTTGGCTTCCACTGGTCATAAGCTCTTCCTCTGATACTTTACTAAAATTTTCCAGATAATGGTCTGATATTGTATGAGACAGATCTTCAAAAGAGTATTCCTTTTCTTGGCACAATTTGATTTCATCTAAGAGCTTTGATAATTCTCCAGTCACAGCTTCACCTTTGAAAACAGACACACCATTAGTCAGTAATTAGAATACCAGGAGTAATTTATGCCTAAAAAGGAAATACACAGTCTTTAAACTTTATTGAATATCTGTCATTTTCCATACCTTATCTTCTAAATACTGATCTTCATGCACCATTCCCTGCTCAAAAATAATGGCATTTCATTCCAGACTGGGAATTTGCTAGAGGCAATCTACATAATTCGGCATTGCCCTATACCTTGCATTTAGTTACAATGAATATATACTTACCCTTTCTGTTTTCTAATCCTAAAAATGATCTACAAATAGCAACTGTCCAAAAATATAAAACCCCACAAACATACAAAATGAATATCCCATAGTCTGCATCGGGTTCATGTTTGCTGCTGTAATTAATGAATATACTACATAAGCTCTGTAAACTGTGAGTGACTAAGAATGCACATCTCCCCCATCAAAGTAGCTGCTTTATGAATAATTCTTGCTCACACTCCCAGGATTAAATGGAATGGTGGAAGAACACACTGGGCAAAACCCACATGTTTAAAACACACCACCCTACAGCAGTCTATCAGAAACCTGTAATTAGTGCATTCTGCGTTGTGTTTTATGTTTTCACCTCAATTTATCAGATTTCTTTAACTAAGCAATCTACCAGAACAGTAAGACAAAAGGCTTTATATGTCTATACTAACTGAGGACCACTATTGGAAATGGCGGTAGTAATAAGTACTAGAATCRTATTGAGTGCTAACCGTTCTGCAAATAGTCCACTGGGAGCAGCAAGGCCTCCACAGACTGAAAAGCTGCTCATTATGATCAACCACATTGGGTTCTGATTATCTACCCTGCGTGTGTCACACAGCTGCCTTTAGTAACAGCAATGAAAATACAAGTGAAAGCCAAGCGTTTCCAGGAGCAAGTGAGAAACCCCTTTTCTCAACTAGGTTTACAACAGTCATATTGGTGGAGGCTGCAGCACTTGTACTTGACAAAATACAGATGCTTCCATGTTACTCCATCTTTGGGAAAAAAAAAAAAAGCTGAAAAGAAAAAACAGAGTGAGCATATTAAGCTCATACATAAAACAGACTTCAGTATACTCACATAATGAAAGAATCCACTGAAAAAAACCCATATCTGCTTGGTCTAGAGCTCTGTTTGTTTCRTTTCTTTCCATAGTTACTGTTTGCTATGCTAAGTAAGCATAAATATGCAAAAATACATTTAAAGTTATAACCATAGCCAGTTATYATGGAAATTTTCAGAGAAAAGTACAGAAGTTGTTAATTGCATTAAAAGCATTTAATTGCTTTTTAATATCTAAGTAACAGAAATTTTGCATTCAAAACTATTGCTACTCTTAGTCAACAATAACTTTGGATGAAACTTGTAAATTAGCAAAAATATAATCGGGCTTATTTATATAGTGCTTTTTAATTAGAAATCAGAAATCATTCCAKATTAATATTAGAACTAAAAATTGGAAGTAAAATATCCAACTATTAAAAACTGTTCTAAAATCATCATACAGCGTGCTATAAAGAAACAGAAACTAATGCTCCCTACAGAACTATCTTCATGTATCCAATCCTATGCTCTCCCACATATGGCCTGCAGTATTTCTTACTGGGCAAGAACGAATTCCGTGTGACAAAACTGGAGTGACCTGGGTGAAAGTGCACTAGATGACTGGCTGATTGCAGCCAGAATACATAAAAGACACATTTTACCTATTTCTTTCAGTGCATGTACTAATTCAGGTCTTCCTCCTCTATACAACTCCCTGTTTTCATGAAAGTCACAGAAAAATAATTGATACTGCTATCCCTCTTCCAAAGTTAGTTTAAATTATTTCAAATTAGACTGTCAAGAGAATGGCAGACAGATGGATGGGAAGCATGTTCAAGTATAATTTCTCTTCTTTAGTATCAAATTACACAATAGACAAGCAAAACTCAGCCAGTGTGCTTTACATTATTTATAACTTGTAAGAGGAAATAAGAAATGTGAGATCATGACCTTATCGTTAGAAGTAAAACATATTTGAAAAATATTTGCTACTTAATTTCAGGACAGACATTTCTATTGCATATGGTAGCTAGATTCACAGTACCACTAATCTCAAAGGAACTATTTATCTTCATACACCATATATCTGTTCAGTATCCCAATGGGAAATATGATTGGAACTACAGCATTTGTTCACTATCATGATGAAGATCATAATCTGACATGCATCAGAAACCTTTATTTTCTCATAAATGAAAACTCTCCCAGCAAACATGTTAAGACAAAAAAAATACTGAACCAAACCAAGCCAACACAAAAAAACACCACTAACAAAATAACATCACAACTCACACAACAAAACCAAGGAGAGGCTTAATTATTTGCCAGCAGTCRATTTGCTCACTCTGGGTGATTACTGAAGGCAGGAATCTGGTTTGGTGCTACAGAAGGATGATTATTGTGAAAGAGCAAGATAACACCACACTCAGGAAATGCCCTGCTTTAGTGATTGTGGTGTGTAAATGGTGAAGCAGAACATAAAATGAAAGCACATTCACAAAACAGTGAGCACCAGAGTGTATGARAGCTGTGTTGGAAGATGAATGGAAGAGCAGTACATTTGTGAACTTTGCAAGAGGCTTCCAAATGTAAAACAAATGGTAGATGCACTCTTTGGGAAAGATGAAGTAAATTCAATTTTTAACTGGAATGCAAACAATGCCTGCAGAGTGTTTCAACATATTCACTGTTTTTGTTTTATTTGATTATAAAATGGATAACTTCAGATAAATTWAAAATACTTAAGATCATATAATGCAGTACATTGTAATCCATTAGTGACTTGTTATTTCTGAGAATACAGCTCCTTGCTTTTCAGTATGACATGATTACACTGTATGTAGTCAAGGTAGGTAATTCATGGTAGAAAAAAAMCCCTACTTGATATCAATAACTTTCTTAATATTTTCTCCACTTTGTATGTTTGTATGAATGTTAATTTTAAAGATAAATTCAGTACAGCTTTTGCATTCACAGAGTACATGTATTTACTTTTAGCCTTTGGAGATGGAGGAACTTCTGGGGACAAAACGCAAGACTGATGTTCTGCACATTCCAGGGGGCGTTCCTCTGAAATACTTGCATTTCCTGTTTCCATATATTCTGCAAGTTAAAGATACACATACACTTGAAAGACTGAATTAAGGGCATTTATTTCAATCCAAAGTATATTTGCTACTTCATTTTTCATTAAAGCCTTTCCAATTTTTCATACTACAACACTGTAATTATTCACMAACATTGCTGCAAGGCAATAATTTGTTGAATGTGTTTTACAACACTATAATGACCAGTGCTCTAATCTGCTGAAACTGCTACAGAAATCTCATTGTAAGGGTAATGAGTTGAGACTGTCCCTGTGTTTTTCCTGTCTCTTTGAAATATTAATGTAACTGTTCCATTACATTAATGAAAAGAGACATTTTAACTTTGTTACAAGTTTTTAGTTAAGATATTCAGAATGTTCACAATACATACAAACATTGATATTGTTAAGAAAATGAAATACTCTGCTTACAGAAAAAAAAATTAAAGCATTCTTGAAAATTTAGTTGAAACCTGCAATCTAAAAAGCAGCACACAAAAAATTCTGTTTTTTCTCCTTAAAACTTACTTTGCCCCAAGTAATCTTTTCACAAGATTTATAAAAGTATAAATCAGTGAAACAAGTATAAATCTTTTCACAAGATTTATAAAAACACAAAACCATGAAATAATTAATGTGCTAAACTTCAATTTCATTACTGTTCTTTTCATATAAATATCTACATTACTTTCATGTTCTTTTCTACACAAGCTACCTCAATGGAAGACCAAGACCTCAATGAATTGCAGGGCAATGATAAATAAGAAAATAACTCATGCAATAGTGGGGCAGGTATTCTGAATTTTCTTGACTTTCTGAAGTCGCTTAAATAATTTCATTCTGATACTGATGCTAACCACAATAACAAAGACACAGCAGCAAATTACAATAACTTCTTTCATCAATATCACTCTGAAGGACTAAGGAGTTTCTGGGAAGTGAAATCTTCCTGATTTAATTTCTACAGTCTACAATGCGCTTGTTTAGCTTGCTGTTACTCATGATTAAATAACAAATCCCAAAACCCAAATATAATTGGTGATAAAACAGATATCTGAGAAATTGAAATTGGAAATGGCATAGAACAGCATGCAGTTTCAAGATGCTTTACAGATTGTTGGGATATTTTTWAAAAAATTGTATGATTTAAAAGTGCCTTATATTAAATACGATGCCTGGCATCGGTCCCTGGCATAATCTATCATAAATTTCTTCACATGAAAATAGGTACTTTGTTTTGTGCTTATGTGTGGGTCTGAAAGCAAAGAAGCAAAGATGAACTGCAAGAGCCCATGGGAAAACTAGCAGCATGACAAAATACTATGGAATGTTTCCTAGCTCTGTCAGCTATGGTACTTGTCAAGCTAATCTGCAAGATTGAGAAGCAATAAAAAGAAAGCCAAACCCAAAGAAAACTAAAAGAAAAAGAGGAATTTGTGTYTGAAAAATGTTTGCTTTGTAATTATGCAACTGTTCAAAAGGAAACCYGAAATGTAATTCTATCAGGTGGATATTACAATTATTAGATCAATACTGATATGACTAGGAGAGAAAATAAGGGGATATTGTGCAGGATTCTAACATTGCTGTYACATAACCATACAAGACCATGGTTTTAAAATAATTCTCTATTTTTATTCTTTATCAGGTCCCACTTCCAGACCAGTGCACTTACCCGCTGGAGGCTAGTTCTGTGGAGGAAATCTCAACTTCAATGTAAGTCTTACATATTCACTTTTAAAAATGCAGWGTTCCTTCCAGAAAACCTTTACAACTGGCTCACACAAGTTGTGATACAAGAGATTTACAACAGGCTGGCAGCAGGCCAACCTAACAAGGGGGCAACCCTTGAAAATTTGGGCTTCTGAGGGACCTCTATGCCCAACTTGGTTTTACACTATTGAAAATTCTAACATATACATACAAACAYAGGGAAACTCAAGTTTCAAGAAGCTTATAGTCTAGGGAAATGYACACTTACCCATTATATTGTCAGAGAAAGAGACACAAAACGGGTAAGCTATATCAAGAGCMAAATCAAAAACACACAAAAGCACCAGATGCTTTCAACAGCAGCTGAATTCTAGTCAGCTGCAGCTGTCTAGGAATCCATCTTCAAACCCTGCCCAAACTTACTGACTGCTGGATGCTTGAGAGACTACTCAGGTTGTATCACTTTTCTCAAAGCARAAAGATAATTCAGAACAAAGCCAAGTTTAGTGAATTATACCACTTCATGACCAGCACAGTTTCCCCATCTGTAGTTTCAAAAAGCTTTAGAGGGAAACCTATCATGTCTACCAGAGGGGAGAGTAAAATCTGTTTAGGACACAACCTGTCATATTCATATTGGGAAGAATGGACTATTTTACTTTGGTAAAAGTAAGTACTACTTCACTTAACCCAAAATGGACCTTACAGCACAGTGAGGATTAATAGTAAGAGTTAAAAAACTTTGTTTAGCAGGATTCTTTTCTCTAGTTCTCATATTTTGTCAAAACCCCACTCAACCTAAATAGGGTCATGTGCACAAAAAGTAATACCATAAAAGTGGTCATACAGCAGTGGAAATAAGAACCATAAGGAATATAACCGAAGAAGGGAACAAGCTCTGGGAAGTTCAAACAGCAGGAAGTCCAGCTTTCTCAGTTTCTGTAATGCCAATTAGGCCAAAGCCAAACAGACAGGAAAGACTAAATACATAAGCAGAGAAACACAGCTACCTCTCCACCATGAAGAGAGCATGGCCCAGCTCAGCTAGAGCTGCTGCTGAACTTCCAAAGACTGTAAAAGCACAACTTACTTTCACTTTACTCCTCTTAGATCCTAATTTCTCAGTGAGCTGATAAGGTTAAGACTTTTCCTTTATTTATAAATATTGGCTTTTAGAGTAGTGGTAATATTCACTTCTGAAAACTTTTTATCCTAATGGAAAATAATAAAAAAAAAAAACCTAAGCAACTTTTCTAAATCATTAGTTTCCTTTAAATGAGCTCCTTTCTCCTGTTTTTGTACCCTAATTCAGCCATGCCATGGGGTGGATTCATATAGAGCTCTTCCTAGAACAATTTTTCCCTAAGGAGACCAAAAGGCTTTTTAAAACTCTAAAAAACAAAAAAACTAAATTTGATCAGAATAAAAATCTGAACACTCACCTTGTCAAACAGAAGACTCTCCAACTAATTAGATCAGAGAAATAAAACGTATATAGAAATCACCCCCTGCCATAGCCAGTGTTCCTGCAGGGGCACATTCACTCCACATCTTCCTGAAGGGCAGCAACCTTCTGGAAACCCTCTGCCCTCCTTAAGACTCTCCCAGAACCTGTCTGAGGATCCTGCAGCTCCACTGAGTCCTGCCCCAGCCTGGAAGCTCTCAAAAGGCTCCTCCCAAAACAGCTCATTTGCTCCCATGGGAAAGAACCCACTTGAGGCTTTGTGACCCACTTCCTCTTCACTGCAGCTGCAGTAGCAGAAAACAGACTGGTAACTGCTGTTGTTAGGGGTGCTAAGGTAACAGACAAGCTAAGATAGAGCCTGGTTTACTTCAGTCTCCTAAATTTCAAAGGACAGTTTCTAAAAGATTCAAGTTTAACTTAATCCCAGAGAAAGCTGAAATCAGKAGAAGTTTTTGTGCATGTGTCAGGGAAGATAACAGAAACAAGCACTGAAGTACTCCTATGACTGTGAGGTAAGAGTGCAGCTAAACTTTTAGTCTCAACAGCAGCAGTTAAATTAATTCATGAACACAGTTAATACTCTACAGCTTTTGCACATGAGCCTAGAGAAAGAGCAGGAAAACAAAACAAACCCACAGAAAAAAAAAAACCCAAAACAAACCAAAAAAAACAACMCAAAAAACAATGACAATGAAGGGGGATTGAGATCTCAATTATTTTCATCCCACACAGCCGTAATTAAATCCTTGACTGAAAACCTATTCCAATTTTTCAGTGAGGCTGACCTCCTGCACTCAAGGGAAGGGAAAACCTACTTGTCCACAGAAAGAGCAGGAGAGAAAGCAAGAATACGCCAAAAAGCAAAGAAGAAACAAACAAACAAAAAAAAAACCCAAGAAAAAACAGACAAAAAACAAACAAAACTAAACAAAAACAACAACACAAAAGCCAACAAAACAACAACCCAAAATAAATTTTTTTTAAAAAACAAAACTCAAAACCCCTCAAAAACAGTGCTAAGGACACCAAAGCAGAGAGAAATAGAAAGCAGTTCTGTTTCTGCACCTGCTTATGCATTTTCCATTTATGAATAATTTGGTAACAGGTACAATGTTAGGCTCCTAATCAGCTTCAGCAGAAGAGAAGAAATAGTTTTCCACTGCATCTCCCTCCATACTGTCTATGCAGCAGTGTTTACTGCGCCTTCCTGGCGCTTGTGCCATTTTTCATCTGTTTATCTACTATCATCTACTATCTCCTTTGTTTCATAATAACAAGAATTCTGCTTCCAGAAATAGTAAAAGAGTAAGWTTCTAATAGAGAGCATAGTGGGCTGTAGAGAAAGAGTTGAAAGAYGGTACAGCTTGCACCTGCGTCACATTCCATGTGCTAAAACTAAAACACAGCTGGCTGGTTTAATTTTAGGCCTACTAGCCTTGGCAACATCCCTTTTATCTTCAATGCCTAATTATAAAAGCCCTAAATGCCRACACTGTTAACTGCTTCAGCACTGACTGCTGTTGTTCCACTGTGCCCATGAAATGTCTCCCGCAGCCTGGCCTTGCTTGGCACAGTATCCTAATTTTCCACTCTGCCAGTACAGAGTGCGTATACAGCTATTGCTTCCTTGCTACAATAATAACTACTTTTAGGTGAGTTCAGTGCTACTCAGACCTGATGAAGACACAGAAAATGGTGTGACATGTACAAAGGACATAGAATTAAAACTTGAATTGTCATGTCTATTAATTGTAACTATAATTAATAGGCAGTAAAAAACTATTCAAGATGTTGAATAACTTACTCAGCCTTTTTCATGTTGCTCTTTAAAGTGATCTTTTACTTTATTTTCCTTCTATGAGATAATGTGCCAACGTCTAACTTTCTGAACACAAAATAAATATATTTGCAGAAACTTCCCTTGCTATTTCCTCAGAATAATGAGAAAACATGTAAAGACAAAACCACTAGGATCACTTCTAAAACCTCACAGGCAAAAGGCCTTGTTTCTTTAAACCTACAGTCTGTAAAAAGTAGTTTTCCAAATATTCTTTAAAGAGGAAGAATTATTTCTATCCACAATTCTTAAATTCTGGGAGAGTATTTATTCACAGGTGGCTACCAGCCCTGTTGGTTTTAGTATCAGCTCAATGGATTTAGCATTATTGCCTCTGTGAACTGCTTCTAAACATATCAATTATTTTTATCTCCTTATAATAAGTTTCTTATAAATATCCTCAGAGCCAACTCATTTTCTTTCTAAACATTCCTTACAACTCTGTTATCCCTCTGTATATAAGGGTGTGATACCAGTAGTACCATTCACATTATCTCCTTGTCCATTTCTGCCAGCCCATTCAAATGCACCTTTCAGTCTTTGTTTCATATTTTGAAAGCTAATGTTTTGTGGCAGGGACAAGTATTATGCTATGTTAATACTATRAAGTGGCACTCATAACAGTGCAAGGGAAAACCAGTAAAAATTAATGAGAATGCTCAGTGATAAAATCTTGCTCTAYCCTGGCAACAAGGTGAAAGAACAAATTTAATGCCACTATGGCTGCATAAGGCACAAAAATAGCAAAAAATGGACAAAATCTGCCCATAATTGTCTGACACCATTAATCTGAGTTTTTTTCCCGTAAGTCTACATGAAGGAAACATGTAAGCTCCTCAGGACACCCATCTGAGGTCAGCAGCCTTAACAGGAATATATTTAGAAGCCACTAAATCTTTCTTAGTAATTGCCCTTTCTTTGCATGAAATTCATTACACACTGAAGTCAAGCTCAATTACAGTGTATTTAGGATTCCCAAAATGCCGGTGCTTCACTATTTTTCAGCTACAATAGGATAAATACCCAACATTTTAGTGAAGAGTATACTCAACTGTCTTTTAGAGGAGGGTAAGTCAACCATMTCATCAGTAGTGCTAGTACTGAATCCTGCCACTCCTGATTTTATTTTTCAACTTCAGCTCATAGTTYAAACTTCGATGGGTAAAGCTTCAGTGAACATCTTGCTGATGAAAAAGAATCTAAGTAGTTTCCGCAAGGGAGTTCTGAAGGAGCTCCTCAGGTTGTCTTAAGAGTCAGAATGGTATCTTTGTAACCATTTTCCAACCTTGCACATTGCATCTGATTATAACGCTGAGAGCAAAAATAAACAGCTGCTCCTTACAAGAGGAGCTACTAATAGGAGCTCAAACTACTAAGCAGTCATTTTTATACTTYAAGACATGTATTTGAAAAAGATTTCATGCCAAAGGAGCAAAAAGCCTTGAAATTAATATATTTCTTTTTCTGTGTGTGGTAAWGATTGAGGGTAGGTACTGATCCATCAACATGGGAAACTCTTGAGAAGAGTTTGGATGCTTTTTTATTCACAGAGCAAGGGTACTTTGAAAAAAATGTTCATACATGGGGTTTAGACTGCAAGTTTACCACACTAAGGAGTAAATGGAACAATAAAGAGATACTAAAATTAAAATTAGTTTAGTTAGTGATAGGACTTCATGATGAATCTTAGATTAATACCTGAAAGATGGTTGATTTGGATGTCTAAGAGAGTGAGAGSTCTGACTGACCCTCTTGCTGCCACTGAAGGAGTTCCCATATGACATGAACACTCTTTTCCTCTACTTAGTAATGTGTTCATGCTGCGGCTCAGTGAAGGCATAAAGGTTGAAGTTTGAGTTAGAGTAAAATTAGGAATTCTCTTCTGCTGACAGGGGAAAGCCCTATGTCCCCCACACATACCTTCCTCACCACTATTCAATGCACATTTCTGTCAGTTCCCTGGGACAGAGGTAACTCTGGGACCTGAGATACACAGGAGGCAAGCTAATTAAAACAGAACTTGTATTTGTAAATTTTGAATATTATTTCTTATTATTTTGAACATCTAATATATTCTACTGGTTCATAAACTGAACCAAGTCACTTTGATGTCTCATGTAAATGGGGAATATGTAAGTGAACTGTGTAGGCGGAAGTAGGGGAGGAGGAAGCAGGGAAGTGAGGGAAAACGCAAAGGAAAATAGGAAGAAGGGAGAAAGGGAGACCTCAAGGCAAGCTGTTAACTGGTATAGCTATAACATGAATCTGCTCCTTACAGAAATACCTCTCCCACAGCCTGCAAAATATTCATTGTACGAGTTTTGTATCTTCAGTTCGTCATCTTACTGGAAAACTTTACTTATGCTTGTCAACATGATTACAAGTTATTCAGAAAAGAAACAACACAGTGTGGCCACATGACATCATTTTCTCTAGGAAATGTTGTTATAAAACAGAGTTATGTGGGAACCTGAAGCATGAGCTGGTTCCTCTATAGAACCAATACTGAACTGATTAAAATGGTTTATTTAAAGGTGTGAATAATCAATACAGATGGAGATGCAGCACTGATACCTGCAGGGACCTCCTCTGTCAAATACATTTAATGAAAGGCTAATCTGAAAATACAGGGAACAAATTCCATAGAAGAGAAGTAATTATGTTTAACACTGAGTTATGTTCTAGTTCATGCTTCATCACTTTACTGTCATCTTCTAAAGACTGAAGTAAACAATGGACTTCCATCGATCTTACACCATGAGAGTAAGGTGGGGAAGGAGAACAAACATATGTATGAAATTTTTTATTATTTCTCCTATAATAACAAGAAATGCTGTCTGGCTGTTTTCTTTGTTTTGTTTTTTTTTTTTTAATGTAAGGAAAATAAGAAAAATATAATGAAATGGTTTGAAAAGTTGTTATCATCTTCCAGTCATTTAGTTGCTCTTTATGAGCAAATCAAGCATTTTAATTGTAGGTTATCATTACAATTTAATGGAACTGCTATTGAAATATTATGGTACTTTATGGTGTAATRAAGAATTTATAAAGACTGTGACACACCATGCTAATGTCAATGGCCCACATAAAAGAGTTTACTCTGAAATTCAGATATTGGACAACTTATTTTTGTTCAACTAGCAAACAAGGCTTTTGTCTTTTTAAATMAAAGGACCTCTCCTTTCTATAACATTTTAAGAGTAGAAAATACTATATACCCTAATATTTCTCTGTTGTCTCTGACAAATGTATACTTGAATGTGGCTTACCTTGAAGTAGAGCTGCAATTTGGAGCGACTGCTGAGATGGATGCTCTTTAAGTATGTCCAAAACTGTTCTACCCAAACTGTCCTTTATGTTGGTATCAATTCCTGAAAAAGAAATGGATCTGTGGTGGAATATTTAATCCTAAATTCTTCGGWTTATAAATACAGTGTATCAAACTCAAATATCTGATAAATTGAAAGCCACTGGTTTTACAACAATACTACAGCTGAAATACCGGATATATTTCTGTTTAAAGCTTGAGTAGCCTAAAATTCACATACTGACATGGATGATTTTTATTTTTCCATATATTACAGAGATAAAAAGTAACCAAATTTGGGATAGTTTTAACAGATTATTTCTAAGGAACAGCCATCCTGAAAAGGATATTTTAAAAAATCAAGAAATTCTCTGAATGTTTTTCCTTCATTTCTCTCCAAACTGCTTTAATTCRTTGGGGACTTTCTAGCACCAGTATGTGTTTTGGTAGCAAGACTGAAAAAGGGTTTATGTTAATAAAGTTGTCACTTCATGGCAACATTTTCAAAATTCATGCCCTGAAATACCCATTTCTAGTGAACAGGCACTATGAATAGCCACAGCATTTCCTCACAGACGGTCCATATTGCTAATAAAGTAATGGTTTGGCTCAAACTGTGAATTAAGTTTGAAGCTTGATCTTAATCAGAACCTGTTGTATGTGCTACTGCATGACTCTCTACCTTTGTCTTGTAGGGGCTTCCTTGGAAATGTTTGCCTTATGGTAGAAAGCTCAAGTTGTTTTTCAGTTTAGAGATACTTTCATGAAAAGTAAAGGTATGAAATCTAACAAACTAAGTGAAATWCTTCTCAGGACACTGAAAAGAGAAAATCAGAAGAAGCAGGATTTATAAGGACATTTTGAAATCATTCAACAGAAAAGGCTGCAATTACAGTAATTTCCTAACCCTACAGTTTCATAATTTGTTTGGTGAGAAACAAAAATTTTCTCACTGAAAACAAACCCAGTATTTAGCAGTGGCAGCTGATTTTCAGAGGCCAGACACACCAAGTCATATTTTTCCTTTGTAATAGCTACTTATAACATCTTCTGAGTCTTTTTGAAGCAGAACTAGAGAAAAGGGGATTGTTAGGTACAAAAGATAGAAGGTGGGGAATGTTGCAGAAGTGCAGAGCACTTGAGGTTGAAGGAGTTCACAGTTAAGTCTCCGCTCCACTGTTTTGACAATTGGATCCTGGTAGAGGCTGTAACACATTAATCTGAAAAACGTGGGGTTTTCCTGTGGTCTAAAGGATTTTCTGATGTTCTCCAGTCCTTCCTTTTTTAGGAAATAAAAAGGCACTGCCTCTTTGAGGGCAGGTGAAGATCCTTTTCAGCCTCCTTTTTTAGCCAAACAGAAAAGCTACTTGGAAGGTTTTTTTAATGAAAACAGTCTCAGATCAGGGATATTGTAGTTGAGATTCAGATGAAGASCTGTGATTAGGATATACCTTCTTTTGCAATATGTACATAATACCACAAGAACTTAAAAGAAAGACCAATGAGATCGCTCAGTATAATGGAAGATCATACATCTGCAAGAAACTATTTCTAAGTATTTTCATTCACATTGGTCTTCCCATTTATCTGAGGAGATGGCTGTCAAGATCAGTAATTTACCTACAACAGTTCTGAAAATTATGTAGTAGATGGGTTTGTTTGGACTTTATAACCCTATTCTTCTTTTCTTTCAGGACAAGTGCAATTCTCAGAGACACAGTACCTTCCCCTTTCTTCATAGGCATTCAGTTTATCCAGGAAATGAAGGAACAAAAAGAATGGTGTGTTTGCTAGGAATAGCTAAGAGAAGGAAATAAATATGAACATGAAATCTTCTGGTCTCTACATCAAAGATTATTCTTGGCTGCCTTTCAGAGTGAATAACAAAATTTTATGCAGACATTTTGCTCTTATAATACATTTATTCTCAGAGTACTGGCATGCACTGAGTCATATATGGAATTTCTAAGTATTAGTGCAAACATCACCTTTGTTCTCTGTGTATAGCAATTTTTTATGCTAAAAGAACACTGTTGTAATGAGAGGTACATGTAATTAGATTTATAAAGGCTGATAAAGACAAAAGTCATTCGTATAAACAAAACTTAAGGAGGCATATACCAGATGAGGAAAATTAAGGATATTTGTTCATAGTTTCTGGTGAATCAGATTTACCTGTTTCAAGCAAAATGCGTACTACCTCCACCTTTCCAAAAAGGGCAGCTTCATGTAGGGCACTTCCTTTTTCTGTCTAGAAAAGAAATATTGTGACATTTAAAATACCAATTAATCTTTTTGTAAAGAATAGTCTTGGAAAATAAGTAATTCTTTTTTCCCCTCTACTTTACCTACATATATAAAAAACACTGAATGGGCAAGAATAAATATAACCATTATTTATTATTATTTAAGACAAAACCAAAAATACTGTCAGTTCTACTATAAAATTAATAATGTATTGGAAAATATAGTAGGAATGTAATACAGCTCCCTGTTAACAAGCCTGTGTTTGTGTAAAATTTCTAGACTTCTATTATAGGCCATGAGAATCTAGTCAACACCATCAATGGGACACAGCTCTTCAGAGGAGTCAAGACAGTTTACATTTGGATGTCTACAATTAGATGTTTTAATGTGAAACTGGATCACACCCTAGAAGGTCAATTCAGTTATACGGTGAGAGATGCCCTAGGATACCCTGGTCTCCAGCTGATGGTCCAGTTGATGTTCGCATTTGATCTGCCTCACATCTGCCCCATACAGATGTCTTGGATACCCTAAGGCACCCCCAACAGCTGTAGATGCCTGTGCTTATGTCATTTAAATTCTACCTTAGATGTCGGTGAACTTGATTTTGTAAATTTCTTYGACACAAAATTGTTTCTGAGCAGGTTCTTGCTGAAATAAAAATTTACAGTACTGAAAAACACACTATATCTATTAACAAGCTATTTTTCTTAGTATTATACTGTTGCTGCTGAAAAATCTGAGCAGAATAACTTTCCATCCAATAGCATTAGCACTAGCACTAGCTAGATCTCACAGAATATCTGGCTTACCTCCTTTTTTGTGATAGTAAATTAGATTTTGAGATTTATTTGTGGCAAATGTTAAAGGTTTTGCTGCTTGAATTTGTTTTTTCTGTACTTTATCCAGTCGTACTGGCTATGGTAGAAAGACCTTAAAGATACACACACACATACACACACAAAATCCAATTCTGAAATAAAATAGTAGTTCATTATGAATTAGTTGTGTCAGAATGCATCAGAGTTACAGCAATGCAATGATAGGATATATTGAGAAATAATCAGAGATCCTGAGAAAGGATGTGAGCACACTGCGTACAGATGTCCTACCAATGAAGCCTGAAAAGTCTTCCCTCTGCCCATAATAGGGGAGAGAGTTAGTACATGGAGATATAAAGTAAAATGTGCCCAATAACATCTACATCCTGCACACCATTTATACTAACAGGGTAACAGAGAGGAGAAGGAAGTCACTAAGAGAATAAACATATCAAACACATATCTCAAAACAATTTCTAATCTTGTCATTTTCAGAAGCAATCCAGTTCAACATTCAGATGTTTATTTGGAACAAGGAGACTAAATATTCCCATTTACTTAGAGATGGTTTCCGAATCCTTTACTCAGGATCCAGAAGAAATATCTTCAATATTTCCAGTGAGTGCAATTGACTTCAACATGGGATGACTGTGCAATGACAGTGCAACCACAAAGGTACACGCAGAGATTAATGTGCAGCTCAGAAATTTCTGGGAATGAAAAGACTTCTCAGAAAAGTCACTGATAGTTATAGCTCTGATTACTGAAAGAGGCTTGACATCAGCAATCTTGAAAAAAGCCTATTATCCTCTTTGTGTCATATGGCATTTCCTTTGGATTGATGACTTACTGACATGAACAAACCTCAAAATTATTGGGTGGACCTGGTAATATTAAAACAGAATCCTCCCTCATTGAGGAGTGTTGACAGCAAGTCAGAGGAGGTGACCTTCTGTTCATTACTGGTGGATTCACACTTGCTCTGTTCAGTTCTGGGCTCCCTAGCACAAGATGGAGATGGAACTACTAGACAGAGACATCAAAATTATTTAGAGCCAGGCTTGGTCATGTTCAGCAACAGAAGAGATAATGGGGCAAAATTGAAACACAGTAGGTTCTGTTTGAACATAAGACATTTTTTTTCACTCTTTTTTTTTTTTTTTTTTTTTTTTTTTTGGCAGGCAACTGAGCCCTGGTACAGGTGTCCAGGAAAGTTGTAGGGTCTCAGTCCTTGAAGATATTCGAAAGTTGTTTGGACATGGTCCTGGGCTACTTATTCTATGGGATTCTACTTGAAAAGGAGGARTTGGACCAGATGACCTCCACAGTTCCCTTCCAGGCTCAAACAGGCTCTGATTCTGTCAGGGATAAGAATTAGTGATGTGTACATCAACAATGAAATCCACAGAGGTTCAATTGTTAGAGGAAGTAAGAGCACTAAGTTTTATTTCTATGAGATTTAACTGMAGAGATGGAAACCAGTAATACCTTACCTAAAATTACAGAGATCATTCTGTACTACTAAGGAACCTTGTTAAATAGAAAAAATTGACTACTTTAGTGACATTGCTGTACCATAATCTGAGACTGAGAAAGATCAGTGTTCTGGTATATTCAATCAACAGCTTCAAGGACAAGGAAAAGGATCTATCCTCAGATTGCTCAGTTAAGGGTGGAAAAGGTCCTGATACAATAATTGGCACAGGCAGCAGTCCTTTCTGTTGATCAAAATTCTCCACTGGAGGAACAGTAGGCAATATTTTCCTTGATGAAAGCACACATCTTGAAAGAAATTGAATGAAAACTAACATGAGAAGAGAAACTTCCTGTAGATGTGTAAGGCAAACAAGTCTATTTGGGGGCAACTTCACAGCCGGAAGACGGTTCTGCTATGCATAAAGGGAGTACAGGAACTTAAGCTACTTTTACATATGTAATTCATAGAAAAATTGGAGGGGAATCCAAAAGTACATGCCATTCTTTTTCCTGATACACTTGTTTCTTATTCTATTCTACCATGATATTTCCTGTCATATCAGAACATGATCCTAAAATGCTTTGCAGACATTCCAGATTGTCCTGCATTCTAGGACAATCTATGCTTTACAACTCTGACCTATCAGATAATACAAATGAATGTAATACCCCAGAAATGAGAGACATATTATGAACAGTTTGTTCAAAGGAGGAATTTACAAGGCATACCACATAAACAGTGTAAGGATCTGTACACTATAAAGGTGATTTTCTGAACAAGAGGGGAAATATTACCATGAAACTGAACTAAAATCAATCCGAGAATATGGAGATGAAAGCACACTTGTAAGATGCAGATGTGTAATCCTGCATAAGATGTCATGGAGATGAACGCTGACACAAATCTTAAAAGCCCTAGGCAGGATTTCACGGTAATAGCGAATAACTAAAAAGTGAATCAGATCCCTCGACCCAAAAACTATCCAGAAGGCRGAAATGTCCTTGCTGCCAGACAGTTCAGTTACCAAACTCTGTTTTAACTTRGAGGAAATGTTGAACCTCGGGATGAAGAGGGCCAAGAGAAATTCAAACTGGCTGAATAGATATATCTCTCTAGGTAAATGTACATGTGGCTTACTACTTGAAGGCAGATGTTCACAATTTTTTTTTCTTGTGTAATAGAGGATTTACATAAATGGTGAGGATTGGAAAATATGTCGCAAATAATCTCTATATGTTATGTAAGATTTGCTGGAACTTTTGTGGTAGATGTTTTTCACTTATAACAGCATACCTGTGCACTAATATATTATTCTTGTCTATACTACAGGAAGTGAGCTTAAAATTTATAGACAATATTCTCAGATTTACTTCCTGAAGCCTTGGATCATATTTCCCTGGCAAAGTGAACACTACCATTATATTTGGAAAGCCTTTCCCAGTGACACTTAATACAAAAACTGCTGGCAATTTTTCATGAACAGAGTGAGCTAAAGTCTGCTTGAGTTTGCATCAATGGATAATATATTGATTTCCTGGCAAAAAWTTTCTGTATATGAAATACAGTGAACTAGAGCACAAATTGTGCTAAGCATGTAATAAAACAGCCCCTGTCCCTGCTTACTGCTAAAWGCAGATACAATGTCACATCTGGACACATAAACCAAGCGGGGACAGAAGGACATTGTCAATAGGCACACCAGAACACCCAAGTCAACCTGGAGTACAATTTGCAAGCTCACAGAGAGGCATCAAGGGTTTTAATAATTACAGATTTTCTTTTAATCATGTCAATACGCAAAAGCTTGTAATTAGGTCACTTGTCTAGCCCTTATTCATAGGCGGTTTACTATAGTTCTGATATGGATTTCAGACAGAGCCTGAAAGACAGAATGGTAGCTTTACAAATTGATTGTATATATATATTGATATATWTATATATCCTACATATATAGTGAGAGTGAAAAGGGCACAGCTTTTTGCAGGAGAACTACAGAGATATGCAGTGGAAATTGCCATCATTATTAGAACAGACAGGAAAGGCAAATAGGGATAGATGAAAGTTGGATAAGCAGAAGGGGCCAAGATTTTAAGGTATTTACAATTATTAAACTACTGTTTACATGAAACACGCTGAACTGTACAGTATCATATTTTACTGAGGGCCCAAAATCTCTCATTCACCCAGAACCTGTGTATTTTTCATATGTTTCAATCTAAATGAAAACTTCAAAGCATAAAGAGAAGAAGCAGATTTGTATTGCCCACTCCTAAATAATTTCTGATTGAAGGATATTGGATAGACCTGGGAAATGAATAAAATGTGTGATTAATTAAATTAAAAATAAATGTTCTCTTTTATTAGTCCAAATATTTGCTGTGATTAAAGGTGCTCAGGGAGTACAGAAGAGAAAGATAAGATGGCTAAAGTAAACTTCCCATTTAAACAAATGCATCTTTACAATCACAGAGTAATAGGAGACAGGCTACATCTATAATCATCTCTAAACATTCTGAGAGGTTTTTAGTGGTGATAAACTGAATTTATTAAACATGTTAAAATGTGTACAGTTTTATTTACTGCACATAAGATTTTACTATGCATATTTTTCTTTCCGTATCAGCAATGGAGATCAATGTAATAAATAACAAAATAGTTAAGTTCAGTTTTAAGCAACAGGCTGATATTGTATGTTCTTCTCAGTTTATTAAGCTGCCAGTAAACATCAACAAAATTATTCAGAGGCAATAGAAGTAATAAGTTAACAGTAGGTACAGAGCCAAATTACCAATATGCTAAGATGCTGAATGAAAAGAAACATATTGGTAGAGAATATGTGTACCGGTGAGAAAATAAATAAATGATATTTCCTTATGGTAAGCAGGACAAAAACAGAAGGAACAAGATAATCTAGTGAAAAAAAAAAAAAATTCCCCCTGCCTATGAATACCAACCAAAAACTACTAAGAATACAAATCACTTAAAAGCAATTAGAATAAAAATAAAATAAAAAACAAATAAGCCCGATAATTTTAGTGTAGATGCCAAAGAGTTCATCATTACTAAAAGAATCTCTCATTTCTTAAAGGAAGATTGCAAAAAAATTTGCAGCTACTGTATTTTTAAAGGCCAGTGGAAAACTTTTAGTATAACTATAGATAAAAATGGCTTAGGAGAATTCACAGTGGTGCTAAAATTATCTAGATTACATAAGAGGAAGAGCACATTTCATAAAAGCATTGTGTAATATTTTGCCCTCATGTAACCATCAGTTTGTAAGTTGCCATGACAAAGACTATTTTTCTTCAATTATTCTACTTCTTAAATATCAATTCAGACATCAATTTCTTTCTGAATTTTTCATCATTCATTTGCTAGAAATAAAAGAGAAATTTTACGWTCAGAAATATGCATTTGGAAGTTCTCTGTTGCTGTAGCATTATACTTCCCTCAATTATTGAAGATATAGTAATAGTACAGGACACATAAAAAATGAGCTGCTTATATTAACCTTTGCAAGTGTCTCTCTTTCTAGTAAAGAAAATCAAAATCAAATTAAATTGAAAGTCTGAAGGAAGGCAAATTCAAAAGTAGGTAAATCACAAGAAGTGTTTCACTTTAAACTAGTTTGAAACAAGTACCAACACTAACTCAAAGCATGCAAGAGATAATAAAAGTAGTAAAACAATTTTACCACATTTTCACTTAGAAGGCACTTGAGAATATTAATCCTAAAACATGCTCATATTTTCTGATTTGCTTTGTTTTGGTTATTTTGTCTTTTCTTCCCACTTCACTTTTTCTCAAAAGTTGAAAAACATGACCTTGATGGAAGAATCCAGAAAAAAAAGTGCATGGAATCCAGGGTCAATCCTTCTATATGAAAGGCAATTTTGTATACAAAGGTGATTGATTAAATGCACTTAATGTTGCATATATTTATGGATATAAATATCATCAACATTTGGACAAAACTCACAAGATTTGTTCAGATTGACACCATCTTTTGAGTTAGAAGGAACCCAGAAGGGTCAAGTCCAAATCTTAAGTGAATGRCCCATACAAGAATTGAAACCACATCCTTGGTGTTTCTAGCACCAGGCTCTAACCAGCTGTGATGTCTGAATGTGACTCTAAAGTAGATGTAATTATGTTTGGTTTGCTGATTTATCTGAAAATAGATATAAACCTGAAATAACCTTAATTCGAAGTATATGTTATATAGCAAGAGAGACAGCAAGAAAGTTACTTTAAATCTGAAGATAAAATCCACTCCAACACAAATACAGTGCCATCAATCAAATCAAGAGAAATCATAATTTTGAGACAACAATTCACAYATAACAGAATCCAGTCCTCTGCAGTTAAAAGGCTTGGACACCTTCCAGTGCAAAGAATTGAACATAAAATTTACTGTGCTGTACCTTGTGTCTCTTCCCATCTATGTTTATTTTATTTAAAGTTACRCCTTTTAAGTCATTACAACTTACTGTGAATAAAACTAGATGCACCCACCAGCTGACAGTTACAAGTCAGTAGCTGTGAGAGTGTATTGCTACAGAATTTCTTAGATTTATACAGCAAGTGTTAGAAATACAGGATTCAAAATTGTTATTATTTAGTAACTTGAGTTTAGAATGGACTAATTATAGAAAAATGAGCTCTCAGTCAAACACTGTTTCAAATTGCTACAACCATGAAGGGTCATAGCTTTAGAAAATCAGCTTAGTATCTTTACGGTCACTGCTGGAGAAAATAGATTTTTATACACCTACATGAACAGTTGATATGATTTGTTTATCTACATGTCTCAAGACAACATTAAAATATGCACTCAGCTTTGAAGATATGTATCTTTCTTGAGTTATCCCTTTTAACACATCATTTGARTTGTAATAAAGCTGTATTACGTATCATCTTGCAGCATTTCTTACAAAGTAAATGCAAGTGTATTTTAAAGAAAAAATGTAAGAAGTAATTTAAA